AAAAAAAATAGTTTGTGTGTGTGTGTGTGTCTGTGTCGGGGTCAAAGAAACATCCACCTTAGAAAATTTTTCTTTCATGGCTGACTAAAGTAAATTGGGGTCGGGGAATCCGAATCTGAAGTTAGTTTTTCAAAATTTTGAATTGAATTTTTTGGGTCAAGGAAAGGGTTTTTTGAGAAAATAACGATATGCCTTGGACTGTCGGAAGGGTCATATGAAAAAAACTAAAATGCGTTTGTCTGTCTGTCTGTCTGTTTGTGGCAGGTCAAAAAAACATTTTTTTTTCGAAAATTTGTTTAAATGCAGAAACAGACTTTTTAAGAAAAAATAAATTTTTTCGAAAACACCTGGAATTTTTTTGAAAAAAAGTTTCTTTTCAAAAATAGCGCTAGAGATGATAACTTTGGTACTTCATAACTTTTGATAGGAATGATGCATGGTTTTCAAATTTTCACTGTTAATAGGACACTAAAAGATGTATCTCTCCTGAAAATTTCAGCTATCCATAGTGCTCTGTTTGCTCAGGGAGTCCCATGAAAAAAAGGAATTTTGATAAATGTGGAGACTTTCAGGATACGCTTTGTCCCAAGATATGTATTGCCTGGAGCGTTGGTTATTAGAACTTGGAAGTACTCTCTTTAGGCTTCAATTCTGTAAAAAAATTAGCGTGGGATCTCCAAGAACGGCTACAGGGCAGTCATTGCAAAATACAAAAAAATGAGCCTTTTTTTGTAGGAAATCTACCCAAGTGCACTTCGAAATTCCTCCAAGGGTTCTCCTATGTGACATAAATTTTATATGGTAAAAATCAGCATCTAATTCTCCATTAGCCTGTATCGAAATATCCTTTGAAAATGAAAAAAAAAAATTACGAAAAATCGTGCTAGGGGGGTACAGAGGTTGTGAGAATAAAATGTTAAAGAAAAGCCTGGAGGGGGGTAGGGGGATTTTTCGTAAAAATTTTCTTTTTCATTTGAAAGGATTTTTTGATATAGGGCAATGGAAAATTTAATGCTGATTTATAATACATAAAGTTTATACCACATACTTATTTCCTTGGAGGAGTTTTGAATTGCACTTGAGTAGATTTCCCATAGAAAAAGGCTCACTTTTTCATATTTTACAATGAGTGCCCCGGAGCCGTTGTTGGAGATCCCCCGCTGATTTTACAGAATTGTAGCTCAAAGAGAGTACTTCCAAGTTCTAATAACCAACGCCCCACATAATCCATATCTTGGGAGAAAGCCTATCCTGAAAGTCCCCACATTTATCAAAATTCCGTTTTTCACGGGGCTACCGGCAGCAAAGGAAACGATATGAATAGCTGAAATTTTCAGGAGAGATACATCTTTTAGTTTCCTATTATTAGTAAACATTTGAGAGCCATACATAATTCCTATAAAAAGTTATGAAGTGCCAAAGTTACCATAAATGGACCTTTTTTCGTATATTGAGTGCTTCATAAAATTCCAATGGCTCCATATTTTAAAACGAAAATGTTACGGAAAATAGAATTCATCGGGATGCATGATAATAAAAAATTTCAGCTCATTTGGTTGAACCATTCATGAGATATCGTTGCATTAGTACCCCCATTTATATATATGGTCATTTTTAGGCCTTTTCGTAGAATGCTCATAAAAAGAATCGAGGGTTCAATAGTTTTTGAATCGGTTTGCGTCAAAAATCATAAAACTCTTTTCTTTATAACATATCTTAAATTGAGCAAGTTCTGATGATATCGATTGAGCAACTTCGGTCGTTACTTACATGGACTGGTTCTTAAGGTTTTTCGCCGTTTTGATGAAACTTTGATATAGGTCACCGAGGGTCCTGAATCCGAATCCGAAATACATTTCTTTGGTTGACGTTTCATTGGTCGGGAGCTGGCCAATCAGAAATCAACTTTTTTATTTTAAGAATTTTTGCTCTTTTGATGGAACGTTACTAAGAAATCGAAATCTTTGTTTTGCACGTAGTTCCCTCGACTGAAGAGGGGAGGGGGTCATACGAAATAAAATGCATTTGTTTGTTATCTTGCTTGATTGGGGTCAAAAAAACATATCAGAGAGATTAGCTTATGTTAAGACTTTTACTCGTTTTGAGTGAACTTTGCTATAGGTTATCGAGGGCCCTGAATCCGAATCTGAAGCCCATTTTTTTGGCCGACGGTTCATTGGTCGAAAACCGACCAATCAGAAACGAACTTTCTTATTTTTTGTGGCAGCGCAAAAAATATTTTTGTTTCGAAAATTTTTTTTAATGTACAAACAGACATTTTTGAGAAAACTGCACTAATATTTTCTTAATGAGGGATTTCGATAAGACTCTGATTTTTCAGCTGCAGGATGAAATTGAAGAAATCAGAAATAGTACACAACGAAGCATTGGTTTAGAAATCCCTGTCGAGAATTCTCATGCTATAGATCTGATGGTTTTTCGAATTAAGCCGAGTTTGTGAGTAGATGAAGTGTAAATAAAGAAGGATGGTGATGGGGAGAAATTGAACGAAACATAGCAGCGGCTAGTCGTGAGTGGCGCCCAGGAGGGGCACCGACGAACGACTAGCCGCTGCACTAGAAAGTATCTTAAAGAAATGCTTCAAGTTGCTGGTATTCATCAAATAGACTTCAAGAGTCTAGGTCATACGGGCTTGAATAAGGAGTAGCAGTTGCTGAGAACTGAGAAATATTTTGAAATGAAGTGTGAGAACGCCTTTTCTGCACGTGTGCGATATTTGAATAGTACATTTGAGGGAAAAAATTATTTATAGAATTTATATTCGTTCTATCAGTATGCTATTTGAATGAAATAAACGGGGGTTTCCTTGGTGGGATGCTTTCTTGTTGTTACTGATTCAAATGTCGAAATTTATATGGATATATTGAAATTACCTATCTAGTCTGATGACTAATATGAGTAGGAGCTTCTTCCAAGTGTGGCAGTCCGATTATAGACCAGACCTAATATGATTAATTGTAAGCTAGAAGTTCAAGTAAGTCCTATTTTTCTAGCAAACACTCTAGTAAACAATATTTTCGGCAGATGTGTCAGTAAGCGAACGAACTTATAATAAAAATTTTAAGGAGTATGGCGCGTTTTCATGAAAGTGTCGCGAATGAGCTTTGCTTCATTACCTCTCAGAAAACTGAATATAAGCTCCTTTCTTGGGTACATATGGATATCGTCGTCATAGTGTGGTTGCTTAGATTTATTTTTGAGTGTCAATGTAAGGGTATCAATTTCATTGGATGCATTCGTGACAAAATGTTCATCCTGGCCCGCATACAATTATGCACAATGAGATTGACGTCAATGTCAGCGTACACATACCTACCCACCCTTTTGGAACATCGGATACTAGCTGGGTTGAAGACTGTCGATTGGAAGAAAAAATAGAAAGGGCTGAATATGAAGTCGAGGGTCAAGCGAGTCGCACAGACGAGCGTTACTTGTAATATTTTATAGGATATTGAGCTGAAAGATTTTAAGTTTTTTTTTTCCTGTACAGTAAAAATTATTAAGGCCTTGCGATTATCCCCAAGTTGTTTTGTGGCATATTTGCAATTCCAATGCCATCAATTGAATAACACAATTGAACTCAGAAAATAAACGCGAGATTATAAACCAATTGGCGTACCTTCAAGAAGATGCAATAATCTCTGAAGAATCACTGTATTTTTTTCTTGTAGTTATTTTCGACTTCTTGGGAACATCTTCTAGATTAAAATGGATTTATCAAAGTAAGAAAGCTTTTTGTATGGTTTTATTGACTTTAGATTATTCTTGTTGTCATGATGTATTATTCGATCTTTTAATTTAATAGAAAACAAAAACAAAAGAATATATATATAATAAAATATCGATGAGATTAGTAAGTTTCATGTGATCGTATTTCCCTTATAATGATTAATCCAGTTCTATTCTTTTCTCCATGATTCTGTTGAATAACTTTAAATAAAGTCTATTTTTGCTTGATATTAGATCCCTATACGGATTAGGTTGGTTACTGTATGATAGTCTCGCTATAAATAACAAAAAACCTTAATAACGAGATTAAATATTTATCTTTTCTATTCAGTATAAGTAAAAAGGAACAATCTTGATTCGGTTCAAATCATTATAGAGTTTAACACGATGTATAAAACAATGTTTTACTACGCATTTTTCATTGCTTTTATACTTTTTACGGCAGTTTCACATGGTAAACCAGCAACATTTCGAGTAAATCAACCAAAGCCATGCTGTATACCCAGCCAATTTAGTGTTCTTCTCACTGTTTCGAGTGCTCAAGAAGTACCAAATGCTGGAATAGCAGCTTCTTATGTAAAACTATTTTTTCTTGTAATATATTTCTTCTAAAATTTGTTCTATGAATTAAAAAGGCCGTTTTCAATTATTCAAGTGATGCAAATCGTCGTATAATTGCAATGAAGGGTATATCTTATTCAGTAATAGACCAAAAAGAGTCGAATGTATGGGTTATTGAAAATATTGCTGAAAAACAAGCCTATATAATAGATGGAAATACAAAAAAATGCTTTAAAAATTCATATCCAGTTGAACCGTTTCGGTGTATATCAGGTGATTAAAGTAATTTTGTTATTAATAGCTTAATATAATTTATTGTTATTATCATAAAACCAATTTCTGTTGATTGTATTGTAGAATCTGCAACTTATTTGTATTCATCTATGTATGGTTACGGTAATAGTCAATCTCAAGGAGATACATGGTATGTAGAAGATAACGATAGAGTTTCATTTATAACTGTTAGTAGCGATGGTAATTGTATTCCAATGAATACTAATAGTTTCATTGGAAATTCTCGTAAGTAGCAGTTTCATCAATAATCATTAAGCTTTATATCGAATAATTTTAGGTGAATTGAATAGTCTCACGATGTCAAATTATGTATCAAGTATTAAAGATCCAAGTATGTTTGAGATTCCAGAAGAATGCAAAAATCTTGTCTAGATTACAATATACTACTGGTTGAGAGACATTTATGGAAATTTTTTAGCTAATATAAAAGAAATAAAGCTTCAAGAAACTGTTTTTTAGTCTGTATATTTGCATCACTGTCAAAAATACTCATAAATGATATGAAAAATGCACTAAAAATTGAAAGAATATTGATAATGATAGAAAGAAAAACGTTTAATGCGATTACTAATTAGTAGATGAACTCTGAAAACGGCATGATATTGCTGATATTTTAAAATAACAATTTCATTGGTATGGATTTCACAGAGCTAGTGGTTGTTTCAATTGTTATTGCGTGTTGATCATAAGATACTACCAAACTTTTATACAACAACTCATCTGAAAGAAAAGATTAACACTTATACGCATGCATGAAATCATTCGTTTTTTTTTCATTTAAAAGACCAACAATTTTTCTAGTTAAGAAGAAACATAGTTACTGTCCTATTCAGAATATCTCTGATGCAGATCAACAGAATAGATAGATAATTAGGATGTGGATGCGGATGTGTATGTATGTCAAAGTTATCTTCGTACTCTTCATAAAAAGCATCATATAACCAATTATTATTTAATTAAAAGAAATGGAATAGTCACGAGAAAAATCTATTCTTAGCAGCCTTCTGCCAGTAGAACAAAGTTTCATATTCATTCAATACCAGAAACTTGACTGGTACAACACAACTTTTACATCATGTTGATATATATAGAGTCCGAATCACAACGCTTTGCTTCATTGTAAACAATAGTAGCTATCAGAAAAGTGTCGGGATTAAAAGCAAAATCTATCATGTCGAAAAAATACAATGCAGACATTGTTTTTTTATTCTCAGACAAATACCAAGAAAAAAGGAAAAAATCACTCTACCGTATTGTCTAAAACACGTGTATTTCAGGTATTGATTATTTGTTTGTTTATTAAGCAGCTTATATCAAATCGTAAAGAAAGAAAATTTTATCCATTGTGGCATTGGTCAATCTTACCAAGACAATTGCTTAAAATAGGTGTGTGTACGTAATCCTGAAAGGCAGACTATCACGAGAAAGTTACTTAGAAAATAAATGAATATAAAGTCAATTAGTATTTTAAAAAATATGCTGTGAAGAATCTGTTGGCATTACTTACATTTTTACATAGTTAACATTGTTATCCGACCAAATATACCCCTGGAAAAAAATAAGTTTCACTCTGTATTTTGGGAATATTCTTACCGAAAGAACATACTTTTTAAAAAGTAATGACGTATTCGAAAAGTCGTGAAATTTTACATCTTCCTGTTTATTTATATTTTTGTTGGGATGGCTGTATAAAACAATTATTCCATTGAAGTGAACATATCTTTGATACCCCATTTTGATATACCTAATACAATCATTGACATCTCGCATAGTTTTTCAAATTTTTTTTGGCATTAAAAACAAGCTTTAGGGTGTGGGTGTGGGTGGGAGTGGATGTGCGTGTGGCTATTTATGTAGTTATTCTCTACACCCACACCTCACACCCACCCACCCACACCCACACCCACATACCCACACCCCACCATCGAATTATTATTATTATTGAACTTGTTGAAAAACTCTATGAAATAACTGAAGAATTATTAATATTACCTATGAATCTTTAATTTAATTATGTCAATTTTCATTTTATTTTTATTCTACATATTAATTTATCTAATTATTAAATAAATAAAAATTAGTTATATCAAACAAAACAATTATATCTTTAAGATATTTACAGATAGAACTTTTTCTATTTTTTTGAATATTTTAATTAGTTTATTTTATTTAGTTAAACTAACGTAAATTAATGGATTTTTATTATTAATCAAATATATTCGACAAACAAAATCAATATCTATAACTAAATGACAATTAAATTGTCTTATCTTTAGTATATTTGCCTAAAATAGAATTTCTTATGTGTATAGTAATTATTTACTTAAAAGTAATCTATTAAGAAAAAAATAATTTTATATTTAACTGTCATATGGATAATATCATTGGGAATTCATATGATTTAGTATCTATAGAATTTAATTCATATTTTCTTTTATGTTTTTCAATATAGAAATTCATCAAATATAAGAAAGATGAAAAATATATTATTTTTATGAAAATAGCACAAATAATTCAATTAATTTGAAAATAGAATTAGTGTTTATTAATCTTATAGAATTCTATCAATAAATATTGACAATGATTAGTTTGTTTTTTCAGCAGAAGATTATTTTCTATAGTTCATATTTAAGTTTTCACAAGACAAAGAACTTCTATTGTTCTAGATTAAAACAATATGTTTAACTATGTTTATTATTTATGTAAAAAAATACTTTACTTCGATATACAATTTTTTAGAACATATCAACGAATTCATTTTTTTCTTTTCTTTTTAAAATCGAATAAAAAATATTCAAATAATAATAATAATAATATAAATTCAATGATATCTAGCAAAGATTCATCAACTCTATTAAATATAAGAAATATAAATAAAGATGAATTAGTAAAATATAATCAATTCAGTATTTTCTCAAATAAACGATTCAAAATGAGAAAATATTCGGATATAAACATTGATCAGACAGAAAACAGTAAGTTTTCTTAAAGCATAAACAATTTCTACATTTATTTTCAACTCTATTCATCTATGAAATCCTATTTGAGTCTTAGTTCTACATAAGATTTATAAAAACATATGTATAAGATATTTAATTATCTTAAATTAGCATTCAATGTTTAGAAAAGAAAAAGAAAAAGTTTAATATATAGACGAGAGTCTATCGTCTTTTCGAATAATTAATTTAATTAGTTGAAATAAAATTTTTTGAATATTATTTTAGATTTAAAAGTTGATTACAGACAAAACTTCACATGAAAATATTATAGTTAAGATTTATTCATCGGTTTAACTTATCTAAAGAAATTTTCAATATAGAAAAATGTAATAGCAAACTAAAACATGATTTATTGATTGTCGATAGTCTTAACCAATGTGTAGTTTATTATGAATCTATCAGATCTTTTGATTTGCTTTTATTTTCATATTTAACTATTTAATCAATCGATTTACGTCACCGTTCTCTAAAACGCAAAATATACAGATATTGTATCTTACAATAGAAACAGTGAAAAATACAATATTCATTTAAAAATACTATAGAAATATTGTCTCGACATAAATAGGTAAATGATCTTTAGAGCAGAAAAAACAATAATGTGTAAAAAGTAAGAAATTCGATTACTTCACAACATTGTATATGATGAATCTCTCATTATGTAATCTTCAATCAAGACACTAAAACGATGCCATACATATTGAACTATAAAGTTTTTTTTTTAGTTTCTTTTATAGAAATAATGCGAAGTTATATTTTTCAATATAGTGTCTATTAAACCTTCATCCACTATCAATTGTTTTGTCATCATCTAACTAAAAGAAAACAGATTTTCAAATGTTTCTTCACAATTTTTATTAAAGAAATTCTTAACTAATATTCGTAGAGTATTTTTCATCTAGTTTAGAGTTTTAATTTAACTAAAAACTTCTCTAAATAAATCTATTCATATAAATGAAATTAATATTCAACTAATTGTACTCAATTTATTTATATAATTATTTTTAATTCAGTTTAATCACAATTAATTATATATTAATGAAGTTCATTCTATTTCGAATCGTTTTATTTATTTATAATTTTATCTCTTAATTACTCATATAATCAACCAACTTAATATGAGATAGAAACGAATACACTCTATTAGATTATATTCTTTAATCACATTTTATTCAAAATAACTTATTTAGTTATAACATTTAATAAAATATTATGATTAATTATTATCAAGTAAAAATCAATCTGAAAGACATTGTCTACCAAAGAAAATAATAAAATACAATTAGTTATGAGAAAAATAAAATTTCTTTCTGTTTAGATTTCAAAGTATTTGAATCTCAATCGTTTATGATTTATTTCTTGCTCACATTAAAACAAATAATATATAATTTAAAGCAAAACAATGAATTATTGTACAAACATTACGTAAGTATTTTTTAACTAATCAAATTATGTTATTTTCTAAGAAGTATATCCTATACGAAAAATTCAAATATCCTCAAATGTCTTTTTTTTATAATAATTAATAAACAAAGTATATCATTCAAGAAAGTTCACAAATCTGAGAAGTTTAATATTTGAAATATAGTGTAAAAGACAAAAATAGTTTCTCATTCAAATTCTTAATCTATCTAAAGAGAAAACGTTTTTTTTTAAATATTAGTTGATAAGTTTATCGATACTATTTATCGAAAGAAACAATCGTTATTTAATAATTCTTCAACAAAAATCGAATCAATCATTTAAAAAAACTTGCAATATTATATGTCTAGAATTGAATAAAATTCAGAGACAATAATCTTAACTCATACAATTCATAATGATTAGCACAATAAAAAATAAATTTGAAGTAAAATTAGGCGTCTTAATTCTAATAAACTTTATTTTTTCAAATGAAAAAAATTCTAATAGAATCCATTAAGGCTGAGTCAAAAGTTTCGACCCCTCTCAGTAAATCAAGGATATCTACAACAAACTTCTATGAAGTTATTGATGAAATTATGTCATTTTGTGGAGAAAAATTAGAGCTATCTTCTGAAAAACACATACATGAATCTATTATAATGTTATGATCATTTTACTAATCTTGCGTAAAAGTTTTTACGTTACATTTTTTCAAAAACCAAAACATGCTTGTAACATTCTAAGCGACATATTCTTTTCCTAGATAGTTTTACATAGTTCGATAGAGTTCAACAAACTCTGCGAGACTATCAATCTTTAAAAGAGTTCTGATCTTATTTTCAATATGAAACTTGAAGGAAAGCAGAAAGACTAATAAAAATTTCATATATCAAATATTAGAGAGAGTAAGTTGATATTTTAAAAGTTTTAGTTGGCTGACTATTCAGTCTGTTCATGTAGCTCGGAAAGAGTCATTTTCAGATTCAGTTTATGACGCTGCATCTCAAAACATCAATTAACAATCGATCACCTAAAGTTATTGAAAGTTAGGCATACTATCGCATGCAACATATGCGAGATTTTTATTAATCTGCGTGGTTTCTTCCGAGTTTTATATTGATAACAGGATTCATATTTTTTTTAATGTTCATATTCTTGTAGAGATTGTCGGACTTTATCGAATCACATAAAAATATCTAATAAAAGTATGTAAAGAATAATATTTCGCTCGAATTTAATGACTCAGATATTTAAGATTTTTTTGCATTTTGACAAAATGTAACGTAAAAATGTTTACGCAAGATTAGTAAAATGATCATAGCTTTATAACAGATTTATGTATTTCGAACTATGTTTTTTTTAGGAGATAGCTCTAATCTTTCTCCACAAAATGACATAATTTCATCAATAGCTTCATAGAAGTTTGTTGTAGATATCATTGATTTACTGAGAAGGGTCGAAACTTTTGACTTACCATTTATAAATATACTTATTTGAAATCATCTAGAAAATTATCTCGATAGAAGTACGGAAATATTTGCAATGATGAATTTATTTATCATTTAACAAACTATTATTCTTATTCTTTTTTTTTGCTTAAAGTGCCATAATCTTTCATTTTTTAGATGGTATTATTTTAGTAATTTTAACTACGTTATAATGAATAAATGTTAAAAAATCAAATGAACAGCAGCCCCGAAAGTGGGAAAGTATAGAGGAATTCAGATTTTGTCTAAATTTTACACTTTTTCTGCAAGATTTTCTTGAAAAAACCGCATTGGGTGTGGGTGTGGGTGTGGGTGTGGGTGTGGGTGTGTCGGTGTGGTGTGGGTGTGGGTGTGGGTATGAGTGTGGGTGTACTTCTTGAGGGTGTGGGTGTGGGGTATCCATTAAATGAAGAAGTACACCCACACCCACAACAATATACCTACACACCCACACCCACATCCACACCCACACCCACACCCACACCCACACCCACACCCACACCCACACACCCCACCCACACCCACACCCACACCAGCAAGTCGAAACATATCTACAAGTAGTATATTGATTTTGTTTTATAATTTTTAATCTTTATTCAATTGTTTTCTCTTTTCTTATTAGTAAGGTTAGATGCAAATAATAAGAAAAATATATTTGTCTCTAAATTAAATATAATTATAATATGCTCAGTCTTTATAGAATTAAATAAGTTTTAAGGAATTAAGAATAATACTACCAACATGTGATGATATGAGTACATGTGAATTAGTTCGATTTTCAATAATCCGTTTGATAAATGTTAATAGACTAAGAGAAAATTGAACATTATATATATCCAGATGAATACGATGTTCATTATCAGTGGCAAAGCCATCGACAGCAATCCAACCTTTTTCAAATGCTTCTTCTTCTTCTTCTTTCATTCGAGATTTGGGACATAAACTGAAACATTGACAATACGCTGTTTGTTCATCAACAGTTTCAAAATATAGAGTACCATTGAAGATAAATAACTGAACCAACCATTTGAGTGATATGAAGAAAGGAACAGCGTCATTGGAATGTTCAAGTAACGGAGGAATTGTAAGAGTTGGAGTATTCACAAAGATCGATTGCATTCGTTTAATACGAGGTAATAGTAAACGTAATGTAGTCATCGATGGATTTTTCTATTGTCGTTTATGATAAAGAATGTTTAAGCAACCTATTAACCAATTGGTTTTAAGAGCGCTGAGAAAAATTAAGTGTTTGTTTCTGTATACAAGTGTCCATCGTGAAGGACGTAAAAATGAATTTAATGACACTTCTATAGTCTTGATAACACGATGAAATTCGGTGGAAATCCAAAAATTTTTTTCTCAATGTTTAGAATGACAATCATTAAAAAATATTGTATCTGTGAAAGCATAGGGTAATTGACGAAAGACATTAGGATTTTTTTAATCGATAATATCACTATTCATTTCGGGTAAACGTTTAATTTCTTCGTGTAGAGTAGGTTCACATGGAGTGACAGATGGAGAACGTTCTATTTGGTGTTCTTCTTGTGATTCTTGTTCTGATTCTCTTTGTTGTTCTTCATCTAGCAATTGTGATAAACGTTGTTTTGTTCCACCATAATCTTTTAATTGTTGTCACACTGCATCTCTAATTCCTTGAAATGAATAATTAGTTTGTTGATATCGAGCATTGTGTACTTCAGATACTCTTTGAAGTGTGGGTGTGGATATGGGCGCAGTGCATGCGTGTGTTGATCAACATATACACTGTAGACCTACACTCACACATCCACACCCACACCCAACCACTTCCTTTTATTATTTTCTTTATAAGTATATTAGAATCAATAAATGGAAAGCAAAAAAAAGCATACACACTAATACTCTCAAGGAATGTTTTATATTCTTTTGAAAAGTCATGACATAGCAATTGGCAATGAATGAAGAGGTTCGTCAGGTAAATCACATAGATCTTTATTAAAAGCAGCAATAATATAGTCCAAAGAAAAGAGTTTGGTAAATGGCGCTAAACTTTCAGTATTTTGAAGAGCAGTTATTGTTAGAAGAACGCTGGTATTTTTCGTTGTTTCTTCAATCATGTCTACTGGCCAATCACTAAACTTTTTCAAGAAATATGATAATACTTTTTCAGTAAATTCTTCTGATAGAATTAACGTATTCTTGACTACTGCTGGCCAATCATTTTGAGTCGCACTAGCATTAAGATTAGCAATGGCATTATCCACAGAAATACCACCAAGAATAAAATGAAGAATTCCTAAAGCCGCAAAAGTCAATTCCAAAATGGTCGTTATACAATTACTTGCCGTTATTGCACAACCAACTACGCATGTGAAAGACTGAAATGATGGGCACAGCTGCCAACAAACAGGACCAACTCCAATAAATTTTTTGTCACATGATACATAACAAAGTGCACCACTTTGCTCATATTCACTTGAACAAATCATGGGTGTACCAGCACCTCGACCGTAGCTTTTACGTACAAAAATACGTGTATATGAATATTCATAATTTGAATCATTGAGTGAATCAATTGAAAACAATCGTTTAAGGAATGTGTCATGTTTTGATAATAAACGAAATGGGCTGCTGGTACCTACACAAAAGATGCCAACCGCTGTCATATTTCCACAATCTTCCCAGCAGACAGGACCGATGCCTATGTATCCATCTTGACATTTAGGATAACAAAGAAGACCACTTTTGTCCGGTTGATCAGCAGGGCAAGCATTCAATGGATGTCCAACACCACGTCCATATGTTCGACGCCAGCAAAACGGTTGATATTTACGAAATAGTTCATGTGCAATGATTTCGACATTCGGTGAAATGTTAGTATAGAGCAATTCCATGTCAGCAATATCAGTATCATTCGTTGGATACGAACGTAATTTGGTTTTTTTCAACTTTTGACTACATGTTTAGACGATAATGTTAAACATAGAAATAGAAGGAATTTTTTCATATTGAAATTCACTCACTTCAAATTTTCTTCGAATTGTGTCTTTTGAATTAAACTATCGGTGCTAATTGCCAACTGACTTACAATTAAGAAGATACAAAGATTCATTGGTATTTTGATTCACTTTTTCAGTGTAATAGCTTTACTTGACCACCTTTTTTCTTTCCAACTTGCAATGGTCTGAAATAAAGTAAATGATGAAACGTAGTTACTTGAAAGAGTAACGAAACACGTCTAATGGCATTTTCATTTCAACACCATCACTCGTCAAACAATGAGAAAAAAACAAATTGTTATTCGTTTTTATTTTCTTGTCTCTCGATCGTGGATGTTCAATTGAATTTTTCGATCAAGAGAGGATCTTATCAACACTGGCATGGCTTCGTAGTATTCGACCAACATTCATCAGAAGTCAGATGACAAATGTGTAAAAATTTCATGCTGTGGGGTATGGATGTGTGTGGCTGTGTATGTGGGTGCGATTAGAGACAAGACTAGCGCACACATCCACACCCACACTCTTATCTTAAATATCCTTTGAAAATACTTGTTTGATTATCAGAGAAATATTAATCAATTTATTAGTTAAAGAGAATTTTCTAAGATGAGATTTTAAAATTTAAAATGTCAATCTAAACAATGAATATTTATATTTAATTAACCATGACTAATCTTGTTGAATAAGAGATGAGATTTGTAACCAATCTGATATTTAATTAACCACATATATTAAAAGAATTTTTTTCTTAACAGTCATTTTCTCTGATCAAAATATTTCTCTGCTAATTCTGTTAGTTCTTAGAGAAACGAGTGAAGATAGAAAAATGTCCAGCAGTACCTAGGATCCAAAAATTGGCAATTCAAGGAAATTCAAGAAAAATACATAACACAGTAAGTTACAAGTGTAAACGATCATGGAATTAAAGGAAATTCTAGAAATTCAACATATGATATGACTTTGAATTATATTCCTTGAAAGTACCACAGAATTCAAGAAAGTCAAGATAATCAAAGAATTCTATTGAATTCCTTGATTTTCTTCAATTTCTAGGCAATCTCAATAGTGAGGGTGACGGCAACCTTCTCAGAAGTAGTCCGTGAAATTCAAGGAATTCAAGAAAACCAAGAAATCGAATAGAATTTCTTGATTTTCCTGAATTCCACGGTACTTTCTAATGTCCAGGTGATGGAGCTATTGTAACAGCTTGAATTCCTTGATTTTCCTTGAATTGCGAATTTCTTGATCCTAGGTATATCTCAAAATGTCTGTGAACAATTTTCTGGTAAAGATTCGGAAAAAAGACCTAAAGATTATCTTATTTAACAAAGAAGAAATATTTTATCTGAAAACGATGTTTTTCAAGATCATAAAAGAATAATCAAAATTGATCATATTGAAAATCTCTCATTTCTGCACACAGAACAACGAATATAGAAACGAAAATTATCTCTCTTATTCAAATACTTCTTTCAAACAGATTCAAAAAATTAGAATAGATAAAAATTTATCGAAGGAATATTTAACTAATAACGAAGAATAAAAAAAGAAAATTATTTATTTATCAAATCTTATTAAATTTCTAAGAATCAATTCAACATTTTCCAGATCATTTATCTATTAGATTCTTTCATTGAAAATAAATCTTTAAAATTAAATTCATTTACAGAAACTTTATTTGAATGCATTGCTCTTCTATACTCTCACATTTAAATAATTTATTCGGGCAAATATTGAGAAAGATTTTTCTCGAATAAACATATCAATTGGAAGAATATATTAAAGTGTTTATCTATATTTAAATAAGTTTTAATTAAATATCTTTCATTAAATGAAATATAACATTTGAAATACAAAGAAAATAATTTTGTTAAAAGAAAAATAAATAAATTCTCATTTACGAAGGAAAAAAAATCGACTTCGAAGAAATTAGATTAGATATTTTCTCAATATCTAAAGATAAAATAGATATAGAATTTAACTATAGTTTAAAATTAGTTCGGATTTTTTGAAAAACAAAATCAAATCTACAGTTTTCTCTTTCCAATCTAATCATTGAATATATTGTATTAAATTAGAATATTTTAGAATTAAATTAATATTTATTTTCTCAAACAAACATTTTGGGTGTGGGTGTGGGTATGGGTGTGAGGGTGTGTGTGGGTGTGGGTGTGGATGTGGGTGTGGTTGTGGGTGTGGGTGTGTGTGTAGATGTGGGTGGGTGTGGTGTGGGTGTGGGTGTGACCTTCGGCGTGGGTTAGAATAACAAAAACCCACACCCACACCCTTAGGTTAATTAGTCGTAGGAAAATGGGAATTCTTATGACTTCTAGAGTTCGGTACCCTCAATCAATCTGCGTCAGAATGACTATTTCAGCTTTTTTTTTGTTGATAAGAAAATTTAAGTTACTTTGCAAAATGCATGCAGTTATTCAAATACACCGTGCTGGAGAATTGGAAATGTTGCTGGGACCAATTGGAAAGAAGATGGAAGATACGCACCCTCAATCCGAATTTTGAAAACTTTTTAATGGGTAGGTAGACAGAGAAAATATCCTTTCAGCTGTCTTATAAAGCTCACAATAAAATAATGAAAAATTAAAAAACGTAATGCTTGTTGCAAGTGAAATGATCACAAATTCGTGTCCAATAACTAGCCTCATTCTATTCTAACACACTGTACACACTCAACTTGCATATTAATTGATCGTCGCGTTTCCATACAGGCTCTCAAATCACTATCTCTCGAGCACAATAAAATTGGGGACGATGCAGCACACCATATAGTCGTTGCACTACGAAACAACAAAGTGATACAGTTTTCTCAATCATTTATCTGTCTTCTATTCAGCTTCGTTGTTTTTAAAGACACTCACAACACTAAATATAGCATACAATAAGATCGGAGAGCATGGCGGACAACGGCTGTATGATGCACTGAAAAACAACAAAGTGAATATTTTCTTCATTCATTCATTTGTCTCATATGTAATGCACATTTTCACATAGACACTCAAAGAAATAATTCTCTACGGGAATTCGATGTCGTCGGACGTAGAAAATAGCATAGAAACATTATGCAGATTTGAAGATAAGCAATGATTTGTAAGACAGCTTATTTAAATAAGGTTTAATCAACTGCCTTGTAGTTAGCTGATGAGTTTGTTGGAATGA